ACTTTAGTATTTTACAGGTAGTACACTCACGTGGTGTACTACCTCTACACCAAAGATCATCAAAATCTGTTACCCCAAAGCCATAGGCTCTCCTTGTTAGATGAACTGATGAATCTGGATGACACAGAAGAGCAGGTTGTTTCCACAATGTCTGAAAAGTTCCTTCTTTATTCCACAGGAGCAAGCACGTCCAAGATGGGGGAGGACTATGAACCAAGAACTTTCCATCTTGAAATGCACAGTCAGTTTTATAAGTTTTTCCCTTAAAGCTGCCGTTTTGTTGGTCCCAACTTGTCACCTGGTGACAATTCGATACTGATCAAAGGGTGCAGGAGAGTTCAGTTTCACGACTAAATACAACTCCTCTCTAGCCATGTTTCCCTCGACTTTAGTCTTTTCTATTGTTTAAATAATTTACAAAAAAAAAAACTTTCTTTGTTAAATTGAGATCTTTAATTTCTCCCTTTCAAGTTGTAAAAGGAAATTTTTTTTTTAATTTCTCGATTGATAGTCCCCCATTCAGACCACTACATTGACTTCCTTCCAGGACCTCATTATTGTTTTGTTATTATAAATATATTATAACCAGTAATCTGATGCAATCCTGGTACATGTAAAGTTTTCCAAATAAATTGCTGAATTATTATTGATCTATTATAATGCTAGTAAATAATTTATTGATTTTATATTTATTTACTAGTCTGATTATGATTTTTGCTGTTTGTTTGAAAACTGATTCAATCCTTCCATATACTATGTAAATTTTGAGTTTTACATAATAAGTTTAAGAATTGAAAAGCCCATTTTGTTACTAGAAATATGTTTTGAAAGACAATTATTGTATATTTGTTTATTTGAACCATAATACAGTGGTACCTTGGTATATATCTGCTTTAGAATATGTCCTGTTTGGGTGAAACAAATTTTGCTCAGTATACGACTTTTGTTCGGTATACGACATAATTCAATTATACGCGCCATCAATGAACAAGTAGCACTATCGGTGTACTAGACCAGACTAGACGTTCGCGGTGCAACGGTTTATAACTTTGTTAAATTTCTTCTGATTTTAATTCGTAAGTAAAATTTTATTATTTTTATTAATCACGAATCGCAAAAAGGTAAATGAAAAGTGACAGAAAACTAAAAAAATTACTAGAATTACAATGGAACTGATGAAAGAGATTGTTGAGAAATACGAAGGTGGCACGTGTGTTCGAGATTTTAACTGTTGTTTACCGTATTCCAAGAATGACAATATGGACAATCATGAAAAATAAAGACATTATTAAATTTGCTAACATTTGCGAAAGGGGTTAAATCAATTTCTAAACAGAGATTGAAGACATTAGATCATGTCGAGAAATTGCTTTTGCTTTGGATAACTGAAAGGCAGTGCTGGAGACAGCGTATCAGAAGCAATTATTTGCGAGAAAGCTAAAAAGATACATGCTGATCTCACGAAAAATCAAGCAGGAACTTAGCCAGGAAAGCGAGGTATTTAAATCCAGCCATTTTTTTTTACACGAGAACGGATGAATCATTTTTACATTACTTCTTATGGGAAAGGTTGGTTTGGTATATGTCCAATTCGGTATAAGTCCAAATATCGGGAATGGATTAAGGTCGTATACCGAGGTTCCACTGTACTTAGTATCTGATTTTGAAAATCTGGAATTAAAATATTCAAAGAGCAGGAGATTGTCATATGATATCACTCTTATACAAGGTCTGTTCAAAAAGCATCGGACCTTTGGTCGGCAAAAATAAATTTATTGACTTTGAGGTACAAAACCCTAATCCCCTTCAAAGTAGTCTCCTTGGTAATGTATACACTTCTCCCAGCGTTCCTGCCATTGCTGNTTTTAAAATTTTATTATGAAAACTATTCTGTTGCCTAGCTGGTTTTTTTTTTTAATTATTGTAATGTTTTTGAAGATAAGCATTGCTTACTAAAATGCAAATATAAAACTTCTTAAATTTCCAAAAAAACAAACATATTTTTAGAATTTTTTGATTTGTTGTTTTTTTGAAACCGTGTCTTGTTTTATAATTGTGGCATAGTAAACACTAGTATTGTGTTTTTATTCCAGAGACATATAGCAAGTTTTCCATCAAATTCCTTCATTGGTTGAGTCTATACGGTACATTGTTTTGTACTCGTTTTGGGCTTTGCCCCTCTTCAATCAACTAAAAATACAATATGTATTTTTTAACTTATTATAGTAGAGAATTTACATAAAACAATGAGTACATAAACAATATTTAGATGTACCTTTTGGTTACACTTTGTATAATTTAAAAACATGTAAAAATCTACTTTAATCTTTTGTAAATAAACTAGTATATATTACAAATTAAAAGATTAAAATCTTCCAGAATCTTCCCTTTTAGGTAGATTTTGATACAATACAACTGTAAAAATTTTTAGCTGTTTCTGCCCCTTTTTCACCTTCCACCCCCTTTTTATCTTTTGCGCTGGTATCTCTAATGTTGCCACATATGACATTTGCCACCTTGTGGTTTGATTTTTACTAAAATCTGTCTTGGAAGAATTATTTCTAGGAGAAATTGCTTTTCACAGAAGAAAAAAATTTTTATTTACAATAAAATAAACAAAAACTGGCTTAATATAAGACAGTTTTTATTTATACTGTCTTTACTTTTCATAATTTCTATGGTTTCTTTAAACTTCCTGTTGTATGTTACTTTTTCTTTATGCAGTATTTTTACGTTATCTTTATCTATATTACAGTTGTTTATAGTACAATGTTCATAAAATGCAGAATTTATTCTATTGTATTTTAGGTCTGCTGTGTGTTCTTTCAATCTAGTTTTTACTTTTCTTTTTGTTTCTACTATGTAATGTTTTTTGTTTGCGTAGGTACACAGAATTTTATATACTACACCTTGGGCTTCAGTCGGTATTTGCTGGTTTTTCTTCTGGTTTGAGGTTAACAGTCTGTTCTCCGTTTTTTGATATGATGGTTGCTAATTTGTAGTTTATTCTTTCTATTTCTGTGCTGATTTGTTTACATAGACCTTTAATATATGGGAAGTTAATATATTTTGTTTTAGTTGCCTGTTTATTTTTATTTTTACATAGGTTTCTTGGGTCATTAAGTCTGATTTCCCATTGTTTCAGCAATCTCTGGTGAAATCCTTTGACTGAAGAGGGGCAAAGCCCGAAACGAGTAGAAAACAATGTACCATATCGACTCAACTAATAAAGGAATTTGATGGAAACTTGCCATGTGTCTTTGGAATAAAACACAATACTAGTGTTGTAGTGATATCGGACCTTCTCGCCCTTCCTGCGGTTTCATCGGAACGGATGCGATCCACCCACATGCGATGACAGAAGGCCATAAAACCCAGGGAGAAAACAATGCGGGAAGAGGGAGAAGGAGAGAGGAATTCGGGACATGAGAGGGGGTGTGAAGTAGTGGTCCCTGAGAGAGAAAGTTTTTTTGTGGAAATATTGGACTGGTTAAGAATGGGTTCCCTACATTGGCGCAGCCAACAGGATAGTGAAGTCAGATCGACAAGATTTGATCTGTGAAGAGAGTGTTTGTTTGAGCCGGAATAAGAAGAGCAGATCGAAAACTGAGCTGAGTGGGTAATTGGGGGCAGTGCAAAGGTTTGAGGAATATACAAGGTTTACACCAGAGAAGAGGTAGGATAATTTTGTACTTGTCGGAAACAAAATTCATGGCGGAATGCTAAGCGTAAAGGGAGTTGAGAAGGAAGATCTACTGATCGTGGCGGATCTGTGTGGCACAACAGACGACAATCTTAAGGTATTGGAGTTAAGGGAACTTATTACGAAAAGTGACGATTTTGTTAGTGACCCAGATTTTGTCCTGTAGATTTTGGCCTCTGCTGTTGTGGAAAGGAAATGGAAGAAGGAACAAGAGAGCCTGGAAAGGGAACATGAGAGGCTAGAAAGGGAATACCAGCACGAGTTAGAGCTGGCGCGAATTAACGTTACTATTCAAAGCAGGGCAAGTAACAGTAGTCCTAGCCTTACAGACAGCCATCCGGATGATGGGCCTGCCGGGAGTATGGAGAAATTTATTATGACCGTGAAAACATTAACACTGCCAGTCTTAACTAAATCCGAAAATGGAACCTATTTTTCGTGTCTATAGAGTGAACGTTCCAATCAAAGAATGTGCCGGAAGAGATGAAAGCGGAGATACTGATCAATATTCTGGGAGGAAAGGCCGCAAACATTTTGATTTATATAACTGGAGACGAGTTAAAGGATTACTCAAGTGTGAAGAAATTAGTGTTACGAGAATACGAACCGTCCGTCCAATGCTGCCTAGAAAATTTTCGAAGTGCTAGATGTAGGCCCAACAAGACTCGCATGCAATTTATGTTGAGAATAGCATCGTCTTGGGAATACTGTTGTGAGTTGAGGACTTGGAATCTTTAAAACAATTAATCGTGTCGGACAGATTATTTCAGACGTTAGATGCCGATATGGTTGCGCATATAAGTGTTCATCAGGGTGAGGGGTGGTTTAACCCTATCAACATGGTGAGAGAGTGCGACCTATATTTTGAAAGCAAGGGAAAATCTCTAACCAAGACGTACAACAAGTCCCAGGGGTTGTGGCGTCTTTCAGAGTGCCACGGCACTGACCAGAAGTACATTCCCCCGCCACTGAGAGACGGGAGGCGGAAAAACGGGTCCAACCATTGCCAGGAGAGAGGAATTCAGGACATGAGAGGGAGTGTGAAGTAGCGGTACCTGAGAGTGAAATAAAGTTTTTTTTTGTGGAAATATTGGACTGGTTAATTGGTGAGATGAACCAATGGAGCGGAATCCACTGATTAAGAACAGGTTCCCTACAAGTGTTTACTACGCCACAATATTTTTAGAACCTAAACTGTTTTTAAGAAATTTCTAACAATATTGTTTTCATTTAGTGCATTTATATTTTAATGAAGTTAGTTTGTCATATTTAAAATGTTTAATATGTTTATTTACAGTTGCTCTTTCATTTGGTCAACATTTGGTTTTACTTGTGTAGCTTTTGCAACAGGGGCACTGGCCTTATGGGCTCCAGCCTATATGAACTATGCAATAAGTCTTAATTCAAAATCAGTGAGTAATTTAAAGTAAGTATAATGTATTAAAATTAATTAAAATAACAAAATTCTTATATTAAAGTGAATATTTTGTTCAGATCAAATTATGAAAGAATGTTTTGATATTTGTTCCATTTAAAGAATTTGCACTTCACAAATTTGAAAGTTCTTCTGAGCTTGTGCTTGTCTTCAGGCAGATCAGTTTGAACATTATAACTGTAGCAATCATTACAATAACTAATCAAATAATTTACAGTTATGTTAAAGTAAAATAACTTAAATCTTGAATTATTTCATGAAACACAAAATTAACAAATTTACTATTTAAAGATATTTTTTAACCTTTAAATGCCCAATCCTCCACTATATCAGCTTTTCAATTTTCTGCTAAAATGCCCGACCTGCCAATGGATTGGATTGGCTCCTGGATATTCTTGGAATTTCTTTCATAGAAGAATGTTTTGACTGGTGGAAGGTTCTAGAAGGTTTAATTAACATATTTCCTACTAGATGACATTGTTGCATTTAAGACAAAGAATTTTCAAAAATTGTTACTATTTTGTTTGCATTTTTCATCCTGCACAGTGTTTTCCTTGTTTCTTGAAGTCATACATTAGAGTTTACTGTGCTTATTTTATATAGTATATTAGTTTGTGATATTATTGTCATAGTTTTTAATAATTTATTTTGCTTATCATAATTCTGAAAAATAAATGAATATCTCACTAAAAATCAGGCTAGATTCTGTTTTTTTTTTAATCAGGAACATATCACAGTTTATGACTATTAAGATTTTAAAAACAAAACAAAAAACTTTGGATTTGTAAAACACCAAAAATTATTTTTTAACCATCTGATATATCTAATTACTATATATATAAAATTAATCTATTTTATTTCAAATAATTAGAGCTGAAAAACATACACAGTAATGATTTTGTCATATATTTTTATTACCTTGATGGCACAGAAACAAAAAAGGTATGGCTTTTGTGAGTAAAGTCCTTCTCCACAGTTCATAGCTGATGCTTATTCATTTAAGGAAAGTCAATCAACATAAACTATTAACCCAAACTTACAAGATTACAAGCTTTTAGAACTACAGTAATTATTTTTTTTTGCAGGTTATGAAATCCCATGACATCCTGTATATTTCCAGGTTTGGAAACATTTGGTCCAGTAGTTTTCATTTTATAGGGGGTTCAAAAGTAAAACTTAAATTATGATCACCCTGTATATTTGTTCAGTTGAATCTGACTCTTTAGTCTTTTTATGGGAAACCCATTGCCTAAGTTTGGCTGACCATAGTAAACTGGCGTGTTTATTAATGAATTAATATTTTCATGCAAATCCTGATGTTTGATATTTTCATTGTAGAGTAGAGATTTGATTATAGTTGATAGTTTATTATTATTTTAATGTTTTCTTTCTTTTTAAAGGTATTATTTCAGTTAAATGCGACTCAGGTTATTTCATTGACTAATGATTCAAGTCATTTTCTACATATATACTGCATGCATGCAAACTTTCAGAAAGCTGTATGTATGTAATTGTTTCTAAAAATTATTGCTTTTGTTTTAACAGGATTAATTTCTAAATATATTGATTCTAGCCACTAGTTTAACTTACTTTATGTTGAATTGATTTCTTAGTTGGGGCATCAACATATAGAATAGTATGTAAAATTTTACCCTTTATTAATATACCCTCTTTTGGTACAGTAAAGATTTCTGTCATATAGGTAAAAATTAAATAAGTATCAGGATAATGGGTCTTTCTGTGGTTTACTTAGATAAAACAAATTCTGGATGTAAAGATTAGATTATAGTTAATAGTTGATTTATTATTATTATTATTATTATTATATATATATTATGTATTTTTTTTTATTACTGTATTCAGTTAAATGTGACTCAGATATGTTATTTCATTGACTACTGATTCAAGTTGTTTTATATATATAAATCTTTCTGACAGTCTGCAGTTGTTTCTAAATATGTTATTTTCTAACACAGTTCTAATATAACTATTAGAAAATTATTGATGGAAACTGAAAAATTTTCAGTTAATACTATCTTATCTAACTGATTAAAGTTTAGGGACATATTGAAAAAGGATTCAACTCCATTTATCTATAAAAACAGCAAACAGTTGTTGTTTTAGAGAATAATTCAACTCCAATTAAGAAGTGTGGCAAAAAAAAATTGCTCGCTCCATACTTCTATTTTGGATGAATGCATATCAATATTTAGAGTTGAGATTATGTTGAATATTTCTTCATAACTGAAAGTAATGAAATTGGATGATAATTTTGTGGAGCATTCATTGTCATATTTTATATATTATACACAATTTAATCAAATTCAAGCCTTCTGGAAAAAGCAATGAAAAGTATTAGTTAAATTATATGACCAATTTTACTTTTCTAAATGAATAAGAAGCTAATGTTAAAAAACTTAGCTGATATTAAATCAGCACCTGGAGTGGGTATTGAACACATTCTAGAGATAGCCTCATTTAATTCTTCTATTAGTAGTGCTTTTTTTGGAAAATATTATTCATCTGAATTTGAATGTGTATTTCTTTCTGCAATCAAATACTAGAACTTGCACACCTAGTGTGTTATGTCATTTTTTGAGTTTCAGAATGAATTAAAATTTACTGAAGTATATTATCCATTCATTAAAATTAATGTTGTTTTTTTTTTCTCTTAAGATTTGCTCCTGGTCAAATTTATTTACTATATCCTAAAAATGTTTAGTCCCTAAAAATGTTTAGTCTCTCAAATTAGACAGTTTTAGTTTCAGGAATTGAGAAGTTTTCTCTTGACTTTATTGAGTTAAAATAAGAACATTTAGATGAAAAACTTTTATACTTAGTTATTTATGATTTGAAGATTTTCCTGAGTTTTAACAAATTGAGTTTCAGTTGTTTTTAATGCTGATCAAACCATGGTTTTTTCCAATTATGACCTGTCTAGCCATTGTTTTATGAGGTTAACCATTGGGTGGAAAGTGTCACAACAATCGAGCGGTCAATACGGTTGTGTGGGAGTGGAAAGACTTGCAGAAACAGGTTTACCATTTAAAACTGTTTAATAAAATAAAAATATCTTACAATATTTTCTTGAATAAAGGGGTAACACAGCACAAAATGCAAGAATAAAGTTCAAATGTTTGGGTTTTCTTTTCCTATAGTTTAGTGAGGGCAGCAACATAATTGTAGACCCTGGGGCGTATGGTAAGACTTCCAGTGGTTTTTACAAGGAGAGCCTACAGCTTTGGGGTAACGGATTTTGATGATCTTTGGTGTAGAGGTAGTACATCACGTGAGTGTACTACCTGTAAAATACTAAATCAGTTTTTTTAGCACTTTATATATAAATTATACGTACTTCTATTTGAGCGTGCTGTGGCAGAGTGGTAACAAGTCTGATTTATAAACTTGAGTTCTCGGGTTCGATTCTTGCATAAAAAAAAAAAGATTATATGCGAGAATCGAACTCAAGTTTATAAATCAGACTCGTTACCACTCTGCCACAGCACGCTCAAATAGAAGTACATATAATTTATATATAAAGTGCTAAAAAAACTGATTATATTTGAGTATTGCACTTTAGTATTTTACAGGTAGTACACTCACGTGGTGTACTACCTCTACACCAAAGATCATCAAAATCTGTTACCCCAAAGCCATAGGCTCTCCTTGTTAGATGAACTGATGAATCTGGATGACACAGAAGAGCAGGTTGTTTCCACAATGTCTGAAAAGTTCCTTCTTTATTCCACAGGAGCAAGCACGTCCAAGATGGGGGAGGACTATGAACCAAGAACTTTCCATCTTGAAACGCACAGTCAGTTTTATAAGTTTTTCCCTTAAAGCTGCCGTTTTGTTGGTCCCAACTTGTCACCTGGTGACAATTCGATACTGATCAAAGGGTGCAGGAGAGTTCAGTTTCACGACTAAATACAACTCCTCTCTAGCCATGTTTCCCTCGACTTTAGTCTTTTCTATTGTTTAAATAATTTACAAAAAAAAAAACTTTCTTTGTTAAATTGAGATCTTTAATTTCTCCCTTTCAAGTTGTAAAAGGAAATTTTTTTTTTAATTTCTCGATTGATAGTCCCCCATTCAGACCACTACATTGACTTCCTTCCAGGACCTCATTATTGTTTTGTTATTATAAATATATTATAACCAGTAATCTGATGCAATCCTGGTACATGTAAAGTTTTCCAAATAAATTGCTGAATTATTATTGATCTATTATAATGCTAGTAAATAATTTATTGATTTTATATTTATTTACTAGTCTGATTATGATTTTTGCTGTTTGTTTGAAAACTGATTCAATCCTTCCATATACTATGTAAATTTTGAGTTTTACATAATAAGTTTAAGAATTGAAAAGCCCATTTTGTTACTAGAAATATGTTTTGAAAGACAATTATTGTATATTTGTTTATTTGAACCATAATACAGTGGTACCTTGGTATATATCTGCTTTAGAATATGTCCTGTTTGGGTGAAACAAATTTTGCTCAGTATACGACTTTTGTTCGGTATACGACATAATTCAATTATACGCGCCATCAATGAACAAGTAGCACTATCGGTGTACTAGACCAGACTAGACGTTCGCGGTGCAACGGTTTATAACTTTGTTAAATTTCTTCTGATTTTAATTCGTAAGTAAAATTTTATTATTTTTATTAATCACGAATCGCAAAAAGGTAAATGAAAAGTGACAGAAAACTAAAAAAATTACTAGAATTACAATGGAACTGATGAAAGAGATTGTTGAGAAATACGAAGGTGGCA